ACAGCAGAATGATTCTGTCTGTTTTAATGAAACATTGCAAATTATTTCACCTGCAGCTTTCCTACTCGGGTGACGAAATCATCTTCGCTCTCTTGTCGTGCTTGGACCATTTGATGCAATTTACGAACTTGCTCTTCTAATTCCGATTTCTTTTCCTAAATGAAGCGAGATTATCTTCAAAGATTAAAACATCAAAAAAGTTATTAGCTATAGAAGTTAAAACACCAACATTTGCAACAAATTTGTATTGGGGTTGTTGTGGAGCCTAGTGCGCGGATAGAAGAAACGAGCCAGGGTTCCTTCAAAACCACGAAGAAGGAAAAAAGAAGGAGATATAAACAAAAAAATCGGAAGAAAAGAGAACGAAAGGATGAAATGAGGAGACGGGTAGTAGGAGACCAGATTGAAAGTAGAGGACCGAAAGTAAAAGACAATAGCCAATCAATGAAAGATTTTAAGAGCCATTCGATTGTTACGAGTTAGAGTAAACAAAGTAGGGCATTCTTGTCAAAAATTTGTATTTATAGATTTGGCTTGTAGATTGAACTCTGTTATCAGCTCAATTCCTTAAACTTACTTCTGCATCGTGAATCTCATTCTGCAGCGATCTGCATCTCTCTGCAAGGCCATCGTTGGCTTTCTTCCCTTCAACCTGCGACATTTTCAGCGTATCAAGTCTCTCCTCCAGAACCCTTTTATCGTGCTCTGTAGTGGTCAAAGCTCTTTGCAGCTGCCTAATTCGCTCTTGCAAGCTCAGTATGTTCTGGTTGCTATCGTTTAATTTCATCGACAGTTCGGTAACCTTTTGTTTACATAAACGCTCTTCCTCTTCTGTTTTGGCCAACGCTGTCGATAACCGCTCCACCTGGAAATATCCCAAACATATCAACAAACAAATACACTTTTCGCAGGAAATACGTTTATACAAGCATTGATAAATATAGAGAATGCAAAGAAACAATTTAAGCTCGAGGAAAGTTTCAGGTTGCCAACTCAAAACTATTTCATTCTTTTAAGACATTTTTGTAAGGATCCAGGAAATTCCAAGTCAAACGACTGCTACAGGACGAACAAGACGTCGGACAAAGCCTACTTACAGTGAGCTGAAGCGACGTCGCCTTTTGTTCGAGGTGTTGCTGTGATTGCACCAAATCATTTATTCTGTCTCGCATTGCTTGTTTCTCAGCCTCACTCTCTTGCAAGGACAGACGAATGCGCTCGAGGTCACCTGACAGAGACAGAAAAACCCAATTATTGCAAGGTGTTTATATCACGACGTTTTGATTCTGAGTGGAATCTTAAGGAGAGGGATTCGGTGACAAGAACTGCTTACAGAATCAATGACATTCAAGAGAAGTTGGTTCAATAAAGAGGCCGCTGGCAAAGTTATTCTACCAAAGAATTCATCAATGGTAATAAATTTGGCATCATTGCAATAGCATCGATTAACAATCACGGAATGTTGAACTAGAATGCTAAATATTCAAACTTATCGTCCTAATCTTACATTTAGAGATATCTAGGTAGTATTAGAACTCCAACAGCAAATACTGTTGCATTAAAAGCGAAAGGAACAGAAGAGGACAGAATGAAATATTCGGTTGTGACAGTACCTTCTAAGCCTCGCTTTTTCAACTCTATTCTTGTGATACGAGATTCCGCATTCTCAATCTGAGATCTCATAGCCTCCTTTTCCTGTTCGACCTTGGTGTCATTGAGCTGAAGCTTTGATACCTTATCTTTCAGCTGCCTTCGATCAGCATCGGACTGCGCAAGACTCGTCTCTAGGGCCTGCATCTTCTCGTTTATGTTCTTCCTCTCACGCTCCAGCCTTCGTATAGTCTCTTCTTGTAGCATCAACGCCGTTTGAGCGCTGCTAAGCTTCCCATCTGCACCTCGTTTGCCTGCATTGAAGATGTTCAAAAAGAAAAATCAACAAAACCGTGTGAGACTTTTATTCAGACAATTAAGAACGCATCACTGCAAACAACCTCTGATTAACTACTCATATATTGCTTGATAAAAGAACCAAAGGGAAGCAAAAATCGATCTGAACTCACCGTTCTCACTTTCTTCGAGAGCTTTTTGCAATGTCTGCACTCGCTTCTCGCATTCGTTTCGATCATTTTCTACCTCTGAGAATTGCCTCTGAAGGCTATTTACTTGTGCGAAGGCTTCGTCTCTCTCACGCTCAAAGTCACGCATCTTTTGCGCGAAGTCCCGGAGAGCTACGCGAACAGCCTCGGGATCGATTTCATTGATCGAATCTCCTTTGCTTGGGGATCTTCGAGGCGAAAACGAGTCATCTTTGGTTGGTGACATGTCAACATCTGTTCTAGTTGGTGTTTTGCTTCGGCTGAATGGTGTTCTTCGTCTTGGACTGGGGCTTCGGACTGGAGATGGAGACCTAACAGGAGAGAACATTAAAACCATCACCATCCATAAAGAATTATTATTCCCATCATTTTACTGGATCTACGCTTATTCCGTATCTGTTTATGAAAGTTTTTTTCTGTCGCATTTTTTACGGAAATAAAAAGAACACCTTGCCAAGGCTGATTGTTAATTTTTTTTACGGAATCTAACAATCAGCCTTGGCAAGCAGTTGTACAACCAAATTTAACCGAAAGCTAAAATTTCAAGCTCTTCTACTACTTCACTCAGCAAACAGAAACTGAATTTGCTGTAGTAAGTTTATCTTAGACAAACATTTTTGAGGTTCTGCCACGACTCATATCATCCACCGAAAAAAGCTTAATAATTTGTTCGATGTGAAAGTTTAAAGTGGGTCGCTGGTAAGAAAGAGGGCAAACAAAGCTTAAACCCCTGCCGAAGTCTTGGAAACCCGGAGGCCATTCTAAGGGCAAGTTCAACCAAGGTCAAATGTTGATTTACTATAAAATGACGTAGGGGATTAGGAAGGACGTTTTTAGGTGAGTGTACGAGAATAGCCTTAACTATCAACATTGCTCTTGGAGGGGGAGGGGGTGGTGGGTCAGGTGGGGGTCGTGAAGCAGTGATGTTTGGAAAATTTTTTTCTAAACCCAACGCAAATTGCTGGGTGTTCCAAGTAGTTTTGGCATGTACAATGCCTGCCAAAAGTACTTGGAACACCCACCAATTTACGCTGCATTTGATATCTTTCATTCCTTTCATGAAAAAAATTTGCTACTTCCGCCCCCTTCCCCCTCAAACAATGTTGATGATTTAGAGAAATATCATAAAAGAAGCGCAAAAGAAAGTGCTTCCTAAAATCCTAGTCCGTTTGATAGTAAACCAACATTGTTCCGTGGGGGAGAGGGGGATGATTGGTTTTGACCTTGGAAATTGATGTCAGTGTTCCAAGACTTTTGGCAGGCATTGTCTGAAAATTTTCTCGAAAACAGCAATCTGCGATATCAAAACATTGTGCTACCCTAGGGTTTTCGATGGTGCTGATCTCAAAGCTACTAATGAAAATTCGAAATTTTCACTCTTTACCCAGTTAAAAGGGGGGGAGGGGGTTTGGACTCTGAACGATTGATATAGTAGATATCCGAGTATTGTTATTTGTTACAAAAAACATTCTACTGATTTTTTCCGTCAATATCATTTAAATCATTATTGAATACAAGTATTTTGTGCAGAATTCGATCATCGGTTTAAGAAAACTATCAATTTTCAAAGGAAAAACAGTATAGTTTAGTGCTTTTGAAAAAGTGTTTTTTTGCTTAAAAGTCCCCTTATTTATGGTTTAATTGTTGATGAAAAAACAAAAAAATTCATGAGAATGTCTACAAACTATGCATGATATAAATAATTGCGAACAACATGCTGGTGAGAAACTGTTCAAATGGCTCAATTTTATCCACCATAACCCTCCCAAAACCATCTACGAATTTAATAAATTTGCTTAGGCTATGCTCCTTCGCATTCACATGTGGCAACATGGTAGCGCTCATAGACACCCCATTCCCTATTATTTTCTATCTTCCCTTGTCCCAATAATTGGAAAATGGTTTGTGCCAATTATAATTGTTCGTTTTCCATTGTTAAAGTATGCTAGGAATTGAAAGAACGCTCCTTTCCTAATGGGCACGTGATGTAGTATGAAAATGCCTATTGCCAATGGTTACCAACGGTCTACAGCCACGGTCTACACATTTAAAATGTTCATAAAAATCGTATTTTTCAAAGAAAGTAGACGAAACCTCGTCAGTAGGTGTGCATGGCTAGTATAAAAAATATTGTAGGTTTTCAGATCGATACAAGTTGTAAAACTGAAGAAATTCAGGAAAGTGTCAACGGTCTACACTTTCTGAGAATTGAATTTGAAGTACTCTAGATCTTATTCTCCTTTTGAGTGTAGACCGTGGGATTCTCGTCATATTTTGCCGTTTTCTTCATGGAATTCATACAAAGGTTAATTTTATCTTTGAGGGGTATTATTATACACCTTTTGGGTGAATTTGGGGGCAAACATCCCCCTGACAAGTCAGAAAATTGCGAAGAAACAGCCACGGTCTACACAACGGTCTACAAGCGTTCATTTCCGAGGGTGAGAGTTGCCTTGCGGGGCCTTGTCCTTCACATCGACCCGCGCTACATTCGATGAAATAATATATTTTGTTGTGGCAAATGTCACGCAAACAAATACAGCAATCAATTAACGATGAAATAATCTGCCTTGCGCTTTATGAAGACAAAAGTAGCAGGTAGAGTCTAACTTAAAGGCCATTTTGGCAATGCAGTAACAGTAGGGAAGAGGGCTTTCTTTGTAGTGCTTCTGGACCAAGCATTTAGGAGCGCAGGAAGGCGAGTGGATGTCAGTTTTATTTCAGTTCCCTTACCAACCAACATGGAATAGTAGATCAATCAGTTGGGAACTCTGATGTGGGAAACACGGGGTTCCTTTCTACAATTTAGGTAAACACTCTGAAATTTGTCATTTGGGCACTGAATTGCACAACAAGGGCCTATATGAATGACAACTTGTAAATCCGTGATAAAAGGAGAGCAACTACCCGACATAATTCTCAAATACGACCTTATCTATAATTAGAAACATGAAACAGAGGAATCGATGTCACTTTTATAAAATTGCATCCTTTCCATTTTAGATTATTTTCTAGCTGCCACTCATATTTGTCTCCTTCATCTATCCCATTATTTCTTAGACAGCCATCTGGCTACGAGCCTTTGAAAAGATTCAAAATACAATCTTGATCCTATTTATTGGAAATCGATTTTGATTTTAGCAATTTTCACCTTAATTGAAATATGGCATTTAGTTTTATGGGGGTAGCTTACCCCCACCCCCGAAAAATAACAATACCCCCATATCTCCTTATCGGTAACACGTACGATGTTGAAAATGGCAGAAATGGAATCAGCACCATCAAAAACCTATAGGAGGATATTGGTTTTGGTGGAATATCTAATAAGCTTCAAAATGAAATTCAGACAATGCCTGCCAAAAGTACTTGGAACACCCACCAATTTACGCTGCATTTGATATCTTTCATTCCTTTCATGAAAAAAATTTGCTACTTCCGCCCCCTTCCCCCTCAAACAATGTTGATGATTTAGAGAAATATCATAAAAGAAGCGCAAAAGAAAGTGCTTCCTAAAATCCTAATCCGTTTGATAGTAAACCAACATTGTTCCGTGGGGGAGAGGGGGATGATTGGTTTTGACCTTGGAAATTGATGTCAGTGTTCCAAGACTTTTGGCAGGCATTGTCTGAAAATTTTCTCGAAAACAGCAATCTGCGATATCAAAACATTGTGCTACCCTAGGGTTTTCGATGGTGCTGATCTCACTGCTACTAATGAAAATTCGAAATTTTCACTCTTTACCCAGTTAAAAGGGGGGAGGGGGTTTGGACTCTGAACGATTGATATAGTAGATATCCGAGTATTGTTATTTGTTACAAAAAACATTCTACTGATTTTTTCCGTCAATATCATTTAAATCATTATTGAATACAAGTATTTTGTGCAGAATTCGATCATCGGTTTAAGAAAACTATCAATTTTCAAAGGAAAAACAGTATAGTTTAGTGCTTTTGAAAAAGTGTTTTTTTGCTGAAAAGTCCCCTTATTTATGGTTTAATTGTTGATGAAAAAACAAAAAAATTCATGAGAATGTCTACAAACCATGCATGATATAAATAATTGCGAACAACATGCTGGTGAGAAACTGTTCAAATGGCTCAATTTTATCCACCATAACCCTCCCAAAACCATCTACGAATTTAATAAATTTGCTTAGGCTATGCTCCTTCGCATTCACATGTGGCAACATGGTAGCGCTCATAGACACCCCATTCCCTATTATTTTCTATCTTCCCTTGTCCCAGTAATTGGAAAATGGTTTGTGCCAATTATAATTGTTCGTTTTCCATTGTTAAAGTATGCTAGGAATTGAAAGAACGCTCCTTTCCTAATGGGCACGTGATGTAGTATGAAAATGCCTATTGCCAATGGTTACCAACGGTCTACAGCCACGGTCTACACATTTAAAATGTTCATAAAAATCGTATTTTTCAAAGAAAGTAGACGAAACCTCGTCAGTAGGTGTGCATGGCTAGTATAAAACATATTGTAGGTTTTCAGATCGATACAAGTTGTAAAACTGAAGAAATTCAGGAAAGTGTCAACGGTCTACACTTTCTGAGAATTGAATTTGAAGTACTCTAGATCTTATTCTCCTTTTGAGTGTAGACCGTGGGATTTTCGTCATATTTTGCCGTTTTCTTCATGGAATTCATACAAAGGTTAATTTTATCTTTGAGGGGTATTATTATACACCTTTTGGGTGAATTTGGGGGCAAACCTCCCCCTGACAAGTCAGAAAATTGCGAAGAAACAGCCACGGTCTACACAACGGTCTACAAGCGTTCATTTCCGAGGGTGAGAGTTGCCTTGCGGGGCCTTGTCCTTCACATCGACGCGCGCTACATTCGATGAAATAAGATATTTTGTTGTGGCAAATGTCACGCAAACAAATACAGCAATCAATTAACGATGAAATAATCTGCCTTGCGCTTTATGAAGATAAAAGTAGCAGGTAGAGTCTAACTTAAAGGCCATTTTGGCAATGCAGTAACAGTAGGGAAGAGGGCTTTCTTTGTAGTGCTTCTGGGCCAAGCATTTAGGAGCGCAGGAAGGCGAGTGGATGTCAGTTTTATTTCAGTTCCCTTACCAACCAACATGGAATAGTAGATCAATCAGTTGGGAACTCTGATGTGGGAAACACGGGGTTCCTTTCTACAATTTAGGTAAACACTCTGAAATTTGTCATTTGGGCACTGAATTGCACAACAAGGGCCTATATGAATGACAACTTGTAAATCCGTGATAAAAGGAGAGCAACTACCCGACATAATTCTCAAATACGACCTTATCTATAATTAGAAACATGAAACAGAGGAATCGATGTCACTTTTATAAAATTGCATCCTTTCCATTTTTAGATTATTTTCTAGCTGCCACTCATA